CTGATATGATCAAGGTATAATGAATATGTAGTCACCTTAAATCAATTATTTTTTCAAAGAAATCAAAGTATAACGGAAATGCAGAGAATCCATTTCCCAGATTTCATCTAGTGTGAGAAGAATTAGCTGGCAAACAAGATTGCAGTTGCCCAAGATTGTGGTTTGAAGTATTGAATCACAATCTAAGAAGAGGCTTTGCTGGTATGTTGGATACTACCAGAAACATTGATAATTACTTATTTTCGGTCAACAACAAAGTCAAGAATGTGGCAGTTCTGGCAGTTTAAAGTTTGATCTAGACCTGGAAGAAGAAGAGGAGGAGGAGGAGGAGGAGGAGGAGGAGGAGGAGGAGGAGGAGGAGGAGGAGGAGGAGGAGAAGAAGGAAGAAGAAGAAGAAGAAGAAGAAGAAGAAGAAGAAGAAGAAGAAGAAGAAGAAGAAAGAAGAAGAAGAAGAAGAAGAAGAAGAAGAAGAAGAAGAAAAGAGTCTATGCACAAAGAAAGTCATTCAATTAAATCCAAAAATCCATAATTTGCTTGTCTTGAAAAATAAAGTTTCTTTTTTGGTGTTGGTTTCTGTCTGTATACCAGGATGGTATATTTAGACAGCATTAAGAATCCGAGTGCAGACTTTTGTATCACAGGCAAACAAAATTAGCATGCAAGAACAGTTACCATAGACACAAAATCCTGAAAGAAGAAAGCATACTCTCTAAATGAACCCAATTAACAGGATTTTTGTCCAAATTGATGTATAAGCTGAGCTCATTGATCATGATCAAAGGTGAAATGTGGATCTTTTTGTGCAGTATAATGTTGCATCCTCAACAAGAACACAGAGTAATCAAGAAGACAGAAGTCAATAGGGAGAAGTACTGATAGGTTCCTGAAACAAAGAATGCCTGTAATACATTTAATGAAAATCTGAGTACTATAGAGTTCAAATGTAAGATCTGATATGGGAAGCCTGAAAGTGAACCAAATGGTTCCATGTAATTGAAAAAGATAGGATAGGTTTATAACACAGGTATTTTTTTTCAAACAATAAGTAATTAACATATATATTTGCACTGCAGTACAGCATAAAATTCATTGGACACTCTAATCTGACAACGGCAAGGATTTGACCCTTCATAGCAATAGCATTTAGACTTATATACCACTTCACAATGCTTTACAGCCCTCTCAAAGTGGTTTACAGAGTCAGCATATTGCCTCCAACAATCTGGGTCCTCATTTTACTGATCTTGGAAGGATGGAAGGCTGAGTCAACCTTGAACCGCTCAGAATCGAATTCCTAGAGTGAGCAGTGAGTTAGCCTGCAGTACCACATTCTAACCACTGTGCAATGTCAGCGCATAGCTTTTGTGTCTTCCTTTTACAAGGAAATGAACATTACTATAAAATGTAAAGGGCAAAAATGCTTTTGGTGGTCAGATATTGTGCATGTATTTGGAGTTATGTGCATTTTCAAATTCTCTCTCTCTCTTTTTTTTTTTTAAAAAAACAAGTCTACATTGGTTGGGGAGGTGGGTAGGAGTGGGGGCCAAGGATCAAAGATATGGATTGCTTGAAACCAGAGACTGAAATGGAATCTGTGATGTATTTAAAATGACAATGCACATATATCAACCACCCTTCCCATTGAGCAATGAGTTGCATGGGATGTCCAGTGTCACTGCGTTTTTTTATTTACCAGCTGAGCTCATTATTTCTGGACTATCAGACTTTCCGTAGCTTGCCAAGAATTGTTATCAGTAAGCAAAACTACGCATGTCCACATTCTTTCACTTGCTTCTCACACCTTTCCTTTGTTCTCTTGCCAGAGGTCCGGCAACTGAGAAAAGCAGCTGGCACGAACTATTTCAAAATGTAACAATTACTTTTCTTAGTTAGTGAGATATTTTATTTTCTTTATAACAAATAAATGAGTTTTCTTAGAAGATATGTTCTTCGGGTTTTGTTTCTTAAAGTATACTGCAAGGAAAGGCCACGATCCATCTCCTCTAATCAGGGTGATTATCTCATAGCCAGGATGGGATTAATCAGCGCCCTGACATCCAGACTGACATGGGATGTCCAGACTGAGATAAATGAACAAGGTTCACTTGGGATTGCTATAGAGATGTCTTGACTTTCATAGTTGGAAGTTGCACTTGTTCTCCTTTACTACTGTTTCATGAGTATCTGAAATATTGAATTGCTTTTTGAATTGCTCTCTGCTCACCTCCAAATTCCAGAGGAAGCACATTAGGAGCCCTTTATATCTGAAAGTTGAAGATGGACAGGAAGTCTTTTGATGTCTCCTGTGTAAATAACCTTTTGTCATCATTAATTTTAGCGACAGAAGATGATCTGAAAATATAAGACTAGAAACATCAATTATATAGAAAAAAAAGATACCACTTGTAGACTTCGGGTGTCATGAGCCATAAAGGTCAGAAGACAACTCGATGGGAAGGCACTTGTTGAGTCCTCAAAACACACATTCACTGCTTCTGACTATCCCAAGAGAGAGCCTTAGATGAGAGCATCTGTGGGAAGTTTTGAAAATGCAGGAAGAAACTGTCCTCTTACAGAAAGAACACAATACTTCTAAATCTATCCCGTAACAAAAGATAGAAAGGTCCGAGTCAATGCTGGAGGTAGGAGGGGGGGAAATCAAGGATCAAAGTCAGATGCTGATACCAAAGATTGAAATGGATTTGGGGACTGATTAAAATAACAACACAGAGATATCAACCACCTTCTCCATTGCAGAACGACGTGCTCTCAGCACTCTGGGATGTCTGGAAAGGAAAAACATAAGAGTTGAATCTTCGGATTGCTATAGGTACATTGAGTTTCCTAGATGAAGTTGCCATTCTTATAAATTCTCCAGCTGTTGGCTATTTCTCTGCAAAATCAGAACCTGGCTTTATTAATCAAAATTCAAGAGAGATGATTTCCTCCCCATTTTTCTGATATCCTGCTAATTGGGGAAGAAGACTCGTCATTCTGCCTCTCCTTGAAGCAGGACCCAGAGCTGTGCAGCACCAGTCCAACTGGTTGCAGTTGGGCGTCCTTGCCAGTTGGACAAAACATTGAAAGCTCAACTCCTTGTACTAAATGAATGTAATGCAGGATGCATTAAAATCCCTGGCTAACTGAGTAAACCACTGAATAATACCACTCTATAAAGCCTGAGTAAGACCACACCTAGAATACTAAATCCAGTTTTCATCACTACACTATAAAAAAGATGTTGAGACTCTAGAAAAAGTGCAGAGAAGAGCAACCAGGATGATTAGGGGACTAATGAAGACTAAAACATATGAAGAACGGTTGCAGGAACTGAGCATGGCTAGTCTAGTGAAGAGAAGGATCAGGGGAGACATGATGGCAGTCTTCCAATATTTGAGGGGCTGCCACAGAGAGGAAGGGCTCAAGCTATTTTCCAAGGCACCTAGACAAGGACTAATGGATGGAAACTGATCAAGGAGAGATTCAACCTAGAAATAAGGAGAAATTTTCTGACAGTGAGAACAACCAATCAATGGAACAGAAATTGCCTTCGGAAGTTGTGGGAGCTTCATCACTGGTGGCTTTCAAGAAGAGACTGGACTGCCATCTGTCAGAAATGGTGTAGGGTCTCCTGCTTGGGCAGGGGGTTGGACTAGATGACCTACAAGGTCCCTTCCAACTCTGTTAATCTGTAAACAATCCTATTAGGAGGGGGTGTAATCTTTCACGCTAATATTTCCAATGCTTCTTTCCTCAAATTCCGAGGATTTTTAGAATGCAGAATGGCAAGGTATTTGGGTTTTTTTGTTGTTGTTGTTTTTTTTTTTTTTTTAAAAAAGTGTGCTGGGTTTTGACTTGTGAACCTCTGCCTTTTTATTCCAAACATTTTATTCAGAAATTTACATATAATTACCTTCCTAATAAAAAGAGCTATTAGGATGTAAAGATCCCCTCTCCTTTCCATGCTCTTTTAAATTATGACCTACTCAGGCTTGAAATCAAAAGCAGTGTGGAGAACGGTAACTCAGCCGAAACTTTCTCATTGGGCTTTTGCAACCTCATCACTGATAAATATGCAAATTCAGCTCCCTTTTTCGGGGATTTGCCTGTGAAAACAAGAATAAACTCTGAACAAATGTAGAAAGTTCAGCAATTGGGAACGTGCATGCCACTTTGTCTGCGTCACCGGTTATAGATTATCAGTGAACAAACACTGAAGAAGAAAATAAAATAACAATAAAAGGATATTTGAAATGGGAGCGGAAGGTAACACTTTAGAAATCATTAGCTGTGATCATAATCCAGTAAATTGACGTAAAGAGGGCACTCTACCTTTATGCCAATATGACAGCTCTTACAGAAGGACTTTCTATAGCTGGTTTGTAAACATTTGTGCTGGATGTTAACATCCCAACAGTGCTGGCAAAATGTTATGCCTTGCGACACAATGCTAGCCGAATCACTCCATTCCAGGAATTCATTTGTTGGCTGAACAAGCTATGCAACCTGGCCATTGATTTTTTTCCCCCTTCTTCTCAGCTCATTTACCTGCACCTAAAATTTGAATGAAAGTGGCAACACTCGGTATTGACTATAAGTTGTCTTCCTCGATGGCTGAATGTGGTTTTATGGAACTGAGTAATCTTGGAGCATCAAAAATAATGCACAAAAAGAGCAAGAGGGGATTCGCCCACCCCCACTGCTGTTTCTGTCGGTGGTTGTAGAAACCCCAACATATCTTTAATATAGGCCTCTGGGTTTGTTTGTTCGTTTGTTTGTTTGCTTATAAGCAAACTGACTGCTAGTTTGTTTCAAAATGTACCGGTATGTTTGCTACTGCTGCATTTTAAACTCTATTCTGCACTTTTCCCACTGAGTAACGATGGGGAGCTTTGCAAATGCTTGCTAAGTGGATGACTTCTTCCCATCTTCCATTTCTGCAAAGTGAATGGTTGAAAACTGTAATAATTTCCTTGTTTGGTTTTTTTTTTTTTTAAAAAAAAGCATTAGAAGGCTTTTGTCTTTGTGTTTTGTGCTGTTAGGAATATTATTTCTAACCCTATGATGCTACATGATGGCCCAGTTGCTGTGATGTAGGGAGACGACACCGAAGTCCAAACAAGAGAAGGTATATATTACAGATGAATTCAGGTGGCCTTCAACACATATCACAATGCGCTTCCATGATGGACGTGCGCCCACATCCCTATCGACTTTTGTAGCAGAACAAGGTCTTCTAAGGCCTGTTTCACATATTATTCTGGCTGTAAAGCTGCGGCTGGGAAATTGAACGACTGGGAAACTTCTCACAGATTTCTGTTTTGCAAAAGGAAGGATCTATATGGCTTTGAAACAACCTACACAAATAGGTTGAATAATCAAACCTATTAACTGAACGGGTATGAGCAGAATTAGCATACTTAGAAATGGCTGGGAAGCCATTTCTTCTCCAAGAGAGATAAGTACTTCAGCTCCTTATACTTAGGAGCATTTTTCCAAGTTGTTTACTAGTTCGGCCTTCATCCCCAACCTGGTGCCCTCTAAATATGCAGAAAAGTGCACCTCCAGATTTGCTTTCGTCAGCATCATCAGTAAAGGGTGGCATGGGAAAATGCTTTGAATTCAAAATGCTTGGACTTCAAAGCATTGCTTTGCGTTTGGGACGGTTGTTTCGATTTTGAACCAGAGGGCTCAGCCATTCCTGAAGAGCTTCAAGCTCAAAACATCCGTTCTGAGTGCTAGACAAATGTCTTGAACGTGAAATGGGGATGTGACATTGAAACAATCCTAGAATGGTCGGAATTTTGAGTCCATAATTGCCCATTTGCCTATTTTCACAGTCAAAATGTTTTGCTCGGGTCTAAGAGCACGTAGGGATGATAATCCAGTTTCCCCTCCCCCATCTCGTCTAATCCCTTTCTTCTATAATTCTGCAGTATTAGTCCTTCTGATACACCTATCTGTTCTCTCTACAGCTGTTCCTTTTCCTATAGTTCCTTTTCTTGTAGTTTAACTTTATTTATTATGGGGGCTTGTGGGACAGTTAGCCATATTTCTAAACCACGATACTCCAGCCTGGCTGCTCCTACAACCTGTTATTGGTGCTAGAAATTGACGTGAAAAATCATTTGCCCACTTCATTGGTACTGTATTAATTGGTGTCCTGAATAAATATTCAGACTTCAACTCTACATTTTTTTTTTTTTGACTGCAACAAGTTCTTTTGACTCTTTAGGAAACCTAAGTTTAGCAAAAGGGAAGAACTGGTAGAGGGAACAGCTAGTAAGTCACAGAGATGGACAAGCACAAAGTTATAACACGTCCACTAAAGTTGCAGGCTTAGCGTGTAAATGAGATTCATTGTTAGCAGAAGATAACCTCTTGAACTCCATGTACAAATTACCAAATTTTGCTAGTCTCTTAGAAACGTATTACGCTTCCTTAAAGTTGCTCAGGGTTTCACTCGAGGAAGTAGACTGAGATCCACTTTGAATTCGATTTGAGATGAAGATGGTGGCGTCTCCCACTGGGAGGGAGACCAGTGTTGGTAATTAACAACTATCAGAAGAAGGTAATGTGTGGAGCAGACCATTAGCATGATTCTTCCCTGCATGCTACAAAGGCCAGTGGGACAGAACTGGCTACTTGGAGGCACTCAGCTTTTGTGCAGTGGGTTCTTGCTTCAGAGGATTGTTTTTCCATCTCTATTTCTGACTTCTGCTTGACTGATAAGCACACACAATGTTGTCTGGGGGCAGCGGCGGCGGCGGTGAGATCCTCCTTCGAATGGGGTTCAGTGATGTACTGGTGGCCTTCATGGAGATGTGACTTTGGGTTGTGGTCTTTGTGAAAGGCTGGTATGCTGAAATGTTCCTGGGCAACTCCTTTTAGAAAGCTGAGCCTGTGATGGCATTAAGTTGCTTCATTAGCCCTTCCAAACTTGCCATTTGTTCACTAAGGTCATCCTGTTCATATACCTGTGGAGAAAGCAAGATGCTAGTTTATTTCACTAAGATAAGCCCGGCGTGGTCCATTCTACCCCACAGCATTAGAGTGAGTAACAAATGCAACTCAATTCACTTTTGTTTGGGATGTTTGTTCAAATTGGGGATGGAGGAAGAAAACTGGCAGGATGCATGGAGGGGCTTCTTCCTTAAAACATTTTAAAAGCCAGTAATGTGACAGGACCAGCAAAGGTCCTGTCAATCACTCCATATTTCTTTGGGAAGGCTGCTATCAGGTGAAGATTTATTATTTATGGGTTATCTGTGTCAGGGATTGCACCCCAAAGAATATTGGGACCAAAACAAAACCTTTATTTTCTATTTCATTTATCATAAAGCACTTAAAATCATACATTATGATCATGAGCCGCGGGGGCGCAGTGGTTAGAGTGTAGTACTGTACTGCAGGCTACTTCTGCTGCCTGCCGGCTGCCTGCAATTTGGCAGTTCAAATCTCACCAGGCTCAAGGTTGACTCAGCCTTCCATCCTTCCGAGGTGGGTAAAATGAGGACCCAAATTATTGGGGGCAATAGGCTGACTCTGTAAACCACTTAGAGAGGGCTGTAAAGCGATACATATCGGAGTGGAGAAGATGGATTGATTATATTCAAAATAAGTATCAGACAAGAAAATATCAAATAGCTTATGAATGAATGTTAAACTTTATTTTAGAAGTATTATGTTATCCATAGTGGAGTTAAGGTTTCAGGGGGGGATTAGGTAGTTTAAGAATAGTTAGGCTAATTTAGCTTATGATTGTTAATTGAAATACCCTGTATTTTGCTCTGGGAAGTCTGGGCGGAGGGGGGGATGGGAAGGGGGGAAAAGGGTGGGGGGAATATTGAGGGGGGGATTTTCTTTGTAAAACTTTTCAATAAAAAAAAAGAGAGGGCTGTAAAGCACTGTAAAGCGGTATGTAAGTCTAACTGCTATTGCAATTGCTATCATGCTTCAGTCATTCATCTTTTTCCTTTCTATCACAAAATTATGACCTAAATTTTTTGGGCAGAATGTCTCTGTCAGTTACACTCAAGGTATTGGGAAGTGACCTCTGTTGTCCTAGAATCACAAGTTGTAATACTCCAAAATTAACACAAAAGGGTGCATTCCTCTTCACACTTATTTGGAGGAATGTTGAATGAAATGAGTTGAGTCCGTACATAAATCAGACTGCGCAGAATTGGGCTGTACAATAATTGCTTTGCCCGGTGTTTCTCAACCTTAGCAACTTTAAGGCGTGTGGACTTCAACTCTCAGAATTCCCCAGCCAGCTATAGTTTTACCTATTGAAACCAATTTCAGACATTAAAACATTCTAAAAGCGATACTCTGCATGCTGGGCTGTAGGGGGTGTTTAATTAGCTGCAGTTTGATTGACACATCAATTTGAGTAGACAAAATGATCCCAATCAAAGCAGGCTTCAACCGAGTCATTTCATTGTGCTTCTAACTAATACGTTGATGTGATCCATTTCCAGCCTTTCTGCTATGGAGCAAAAGGTATTTTTCCTCATGGACATTCATGCTTAAAAGCTCCCTTTCTTATCTGTATCAGAGCTCCACAGCCACTCCGTTCTAATGCTTTGATCTGCACTGTCGCTTTGATCTGAAGACAATTTGCTTCATAGCAGAAGCTTCAGCGCCTCTTTGGAGTTTGGGGTTCCTACTGTACGTTGATATGGTCAGTGTAATAGGCAAAGTTTCATTAGGTCAACTCAAAAATAGCTCGCTAACAGCCTTTGGTGAGGAATTCATTGAAAGAAAGAAAGAAAGAAAGAAAGAAAGAAAGAAAGAAAGAAAGAAAGAAAGAAAGAAAGAAAGAAAGAGGGAGGGAGGGAGGGAGGGAGGGAGGGAGGAAGGAAGGAGAGGAAGGGAGGAAAGGGAGGGAGGGAGGAAGGGAGGGAGGAGGGAAAGGGAGAAAGGGAGTAAAGAAGGAGGGGAAGGGAGTAAGGAAGGAGGGGAAGGGAGGGAGGGAGGGAGGGAGGGAGGGAGGGAGGGAGGAAGGAAGGAAGGAAGGAAGGAAGGAAGGAAGGAAGGAAGGAAGGAAGGGAGAGAATCGGTCCTATTTACCATTTACTTGATTACCGTTCCTTTCTATCGCCCATACTTTATCATTTTTTTTCTCAGCAGCCTATCATACTTACAATTAAAATGCTGACCTGCAGACATATTCTACACATATTTATCAAAACTGTAAAGAATTAGATATCATCTTTTTATTGTATATAGCTTTTGTAATATTTTATCTTTTTAATATTGTAAACTGCCCAGAATTAACCTTGTGGTAAGATGGACGGTCAATAAATTCAATATTGATATTAATATAAAAAGCAAGCAATCTGGCAAGAGCCAGAGAAAATCTGGAAGGGTTTGGCATCCAACTCTTTTCTGTTTCTAATTTGTGCTTCTCATTTGTACAAAGGAACATCTTAGATATATATATTTCCACACTGCTGATTCCCAATAGAGCTTTTAACTTTAACTTAGAAAAAGCAGAAAAAGATTTGTTTTTTCTTATGCTGCTTGAGTGCATCTTCATCAGATAAAGGATCATAGCAAATGCTAAGACTCATCAATCTAATCTGGACAGACTTCTGTCTTCTTTTCCAACTTTTAAAAATAGCTTTTAATTGGAAGTTTAAATATGTTTATATACAATTTCTACATACAGCTTGCCAATTAGAAGAAGCTGAAAGCTATAATTAAAAACAAAACAAAACCCAGACCTTTCTTTATGTGACTTTGAGCAGGAAAATGTTTTTTATATAATAATTTAACTTTACAATTTAAAAGTCCTCATGCCTGCTTCACTTTATGAGTTTGGCTTGAAGGAGGTGGGGAATCAAAAGATGCATCATGCATTTGTTAAATATGAACCCTTAGAGATTAAGCTGACTGCAGATTACAAAGTGTCAGTAATTACAAATATGATCAGAAATATTTTACAAAGAGATAACCTGGGATAGCAATAGCAATAGCACTTAGACCAGTGGTT